CCATATTGCTCTGACAGTGAGGAAGCTTTTCCCGACGTCCAGCCCAAATCTGGGTTGTCACAACTTGACTTGATTATTTCCTGTCCTACATTCTGGCATCAGCAAGAAGAGATCTGGACCTTCCTCTTTGTGACAGCCTCTGAGGTCCTTATCGAGGGATATCCCGTACCCCCTCAGTCTCCTCTTCTCAAGGCTGAACATGCCCAGTTCTCTCAGAGAACATGGCCAGTTCAGCAGCGTAGCAAAGTTGATGTGAATACGTTGAGCAATCAGAGCATCCAGGATACTGTTTTTTGTGCCCGACACTAGCTGAGCAAATCCAGCGTTCATCACTACATGTTTGGGACGGATGGACGAATGCAGTGCAACATCAAGAACTCCTTCTTCAGAGCAGTTTAGAGACGCAGCCCTGCTTGTTGGAAGATAAGTTGGGATAAAGGAGGGTAAAATTCAGCACTGCAAGGTTAGAGAAGGTTATCCAGCCCAGCATGAGCCGCTGTCAGGGTGAAATTCTCCTCACACAGCATTTCTAACAGGCCAGTCCACCACCTGGCACATTTGGCACCACTCACTTTCAGGGAATAAAAGACTCCCTGTGCTTCTCCTGCCCTTTCCTTGCTATCGTTTTGTTGGCAATCCACTGTGCCGTGATAGAAAGAAGTCAGTGGAGAACAGAGGTCTTGTACGGTGCTGTAGGCATGCCTAAAATCTTTAAAAGCTCCCACAGATTTTTTTCCCCAGTATCAGCCCGAAAAGTGTTGGGCTTGATGTTTAGCCTTGTGTTTACTAGAGATAGAAACACAGGAACTGAACAAGTCAGAAGGGGTTCCCCGGGCCATCTAGTCTGACCCCAGGGTTCAGCCAGCTTTGCTTATGACATGCCTACCATGTGCATGTCCAGCCTGTCCTTGAACACCCTCACCAATGGGGCTTCAACCACCTCCCAAGGAAGCCCATTCCATACCTTTGGGGTCCTGTCAGGAAGTACTTCCTGGCATCCCAGTTGAACCTTGGTTCCTTGAGCTTGGCAGGATGTCCCTTCCTTTTGGATCAGTCCTTTAAAAGCTCGCCGAGAGAACCAAAGCAAATTTTGTAGTTGCTTCAGGTAAATGGAAGGTAAAGAATTACAGCATCACTGTCCCAGACCATCCTCAGCTTAGCTGTTCCCCCAAGACTTCGGTACAGTGCCCATGTGCCTGCTCATTTCCCTTCTGACATGCTGTGCATTAAAGCCAGAGAAATGTCTGACCTGGACTTGGAAGATGTGCTGCTTTCATGGAACATCTGTCCTTTGTTCCGGAGAAAAGTTTATACTCCCATCGGAACGCTTGCGCTTTCCCTCCCAGCCCAACATGTACGATCCACGATTTAGGAAGAAAGCAAGCAGAAACCTGCAGTGTAAGCTTTTTGAACGCTGTCTGTTTTTCTAAAGCTGCCTTTCCCTTTGTTAACCTCTTATCTGATTCTTGCACACCCTTTCATGCAGCTGTGTGAGGTAAGGATACTCCAAGGCCGTGGTATATCGCATTTTCAGTGCTGTCGAATATGCTATTTGTACAAAGAGTTGTCTCCGGGCAAGTGCTGACATGGACAGTGTAGCATCTATGGGTCGGAACCATATGTGCTTTCCGAATATTGGTATTGGTTGCTACATCTGTCACCGACCCAGTGCTGTTATAGGGTTAGGATTAGGGTTCCGGTTCCGGTTCCAGTTCCTCTCTAGCCCACCACAGCCCTCCCCAGTTTTGCCTTTGCTGTGGTTTGGATGGCCAGTGGCAGTCTCTTTCTCAATTGCTAGCAACTTTTGGTTTTGATCCGTTTCCCCGCATTCCTGGCATCCATTCTGCCATGTTAAGGCCACGTCTTTGATCAAAGTCTCTTTCCATCTGTTGACTCTGGCATCCATGCTTTTGCACCAGATTTTTCCTTGTCCCTGTGTAACTTTGAGCGTCTCGCTTGGTGCTTTTTCCATGCTTCTCTGCTCAAGATGGCTGACCCCAGAGCAGCCTTGTTAGTCTTTGTTATCCATAATGCCCATTGCCGTATCTGTAGGATTCTGGAAAATTCTAATGGCACATTCTGTATATTTTGCGTGTTTGTGGTGAGGGAGAGAACTTGTACTCCCCTTTGTAATTTTCATTTTTTAGGGAAACTGTTAAAATGCAATCTTATCACTTCAGAAATCGTCGTGTACTTCACTGCCCTTGGAAAGTTTTGTGCAAGTTTTCTTTTTAGTCATTAGGATTATATGAAAGTGCCCTCAAGGCAGGAAGAGCACTGCTTTAAAAGGCGATTCAGAGCCACTTGCAACACAAAGATTCTGCCATTTCATTCAAAAGACGTGGGGCAGTGGGGAACCTCAATAGACTGGTAAACAAAAGTCGCTTTTCCTATTTTAAGGGCAAGAATATATACTTTGAACTTGCAAAGATTTCTGAAAATGCCAACATGCTCCTGGTTCAAGTTGGCCATTAGATGTGGCGTTTAATTTTTTATGAGTGTTGAAACAAATGAAAGGCTTGGTCACTCTGATTCCTTGGCCACAGCAAAGTCAGAGGTTTATGTAGCAAGCGCTGCAGGACGTGTTCTGTTTTTGGGCAGAGATGCAGTGGGTCGAATTGCTAGAACTAACCGGAACACCTGCTGCATCTCTTGCCTTCCTTTCAGCACGGAGACGTTTTTGTTCCACAAAGGCCTCTGGCTTTTGGGCAGCATGAAAATGAAATAAGTAAACGAATGCGGACAGCAAAGGTTGGCAACGTGTAACCATCCAGATGTTTTGATTTATAACTTCCAGCAGCTTGTAGCCAGCATAACCAATGGGGTGGGAGCCTGGGAGTTCGAAGCTAATTCATCACAAGCGGCCCACTCTGGTGTCCTGCCCTGAGATGGATCGCCGCGACGCAAAGGAGTGTGATGGGGTGAGAGTTGATGGGAAGAGTGGCAAAAGAACGAGCTCGCACCATTTTTCTTCCAGTCAGGGTTGTGATGTACTACCGAGGAGCAATGCCAAGGATTGGAGGGGTGGAAGCAGCCAAAATGTAATTGTATTGTGCAGGCACTTTCTGAACTGAAAAGTGGGATCGATGCCCAATATTATTTATTTATTTAAAGTTTTTATATGTGTCCCCTTGCTGCATAGCCTCGGGACAGCTTATTAAAATAAATAAATACAAAATAATAACAATTGCAATTAAAACCTGGAAACACACTGGCTGCACAGATAAAAATCTATAAATATTAAACATTATTAAAATACTGTTTGAATAAAAAGGTCTTGGCCTGGCGCCAAAAAACAAATAACAATGGTGCCAGGCGGACCTCTCTGGGGAGCGCATTCCATAAGTGGGGCGCCACCGCAGAGAAGGCCCTCCTCCGGGTACTTTGCTTCCTGATGTCTTTCACTGAGGGCTCCTGGAGGAGGGCCTCTGCTGCCGATCTCAAGGGGCGGGAGGGCAAATATGGCCGCAGGTGTTCCTTTAGGTATCCAGGTCCCAAGCCGTTAAGGGTTTAACCATCCTGTTCCTACGGGTGTACTAAGCCATCCTTCCCGTAGGCACTGGGGACCACGACTCCCGTACACCTGACCGTGGATTGCGCTGCCTGAGTCTGGTTGGAGTCAAGGCCCAAGAACCGAGGGAAGGCTCCACCACGTGGTGGGAAATCGCTCCTTCACAGGGAGAGGGGATGCCTCCTCATGCCTTTCCCACTTTAGACTGTCTGTACATTGTTGGTGATATTGGACATTTGGAGTTGCTTTTTCTGGTTGTCCATAACCGTTAAATCGATAATAAAAGCACAAAACTCACAAAAATAGAAGGAGAGGGCCAAGGGGCAGGGGCTGAAGCTCATTGTATGTCAAGTCTGACCAGTTCAGTATCTTCATAGAAGGTGTTCCTACTGCCAATTAGAATGAAGGTTCACTGCAAATACAATCTCATTGTTAGCTCTGTGTGCTCCCCCTTGAATTCTGTCATCTACAGCTGATTTATCCAAGAATGACCATGCATAAAATTGGGTTCTTTCGTCTGTGGCAGCTGAGAAGGCCCTTATTTCCCCTCTCGGAAAGTCTGTATTATTGAAATCCTGGCACTCATAATAGTTTAACAGAAGATGTACATGCCATTCTATGGCAAAGGTTTCATTCTCTGTGTAACTAATTAATTAAAACAGAAAACGGTACAGGGGCATAGTGATGTTCCAGTTATTAAATTAGCCATTTTTCACAGCAGATTTATAGTCTTCGTGATTAACTTTCCCACCTGAATATGACAATGGAAAATTTTATACTTTGACTATTAAATTGCTATATGAATAGCTTCAAATTGAACTGGAACTTCAATATAGCACTTTAATTCATTGAAGGATTTAACATGCAAGTGTGGAACAGATCATGGCTGGGAAAAGATTTTACAGGGAATTTGTGGTCTATATTTTTGCAGTTCTGATATGAGAATCAAGAAGATGCGTCTTTTGCCCTATTCTAAACAGCTTGACTCCGGCTGCCTAATCACATCACGTAAACATATGATGTGGAACCTTTATTCCCATATTCCCTCTGAGCCCCCATAATGGAAATTATCGTGTTAAAAACGTCATTCATCAATGTTATGATTCTCTATCACTTTGTATGCCTTTCCAGTTAATTCTGGGAACTCAGACAAAGAAGGTGCCATTCCTGCAACTGTTTGAGGGCATGGCTAAACCACACCTGTGCATTCGTGAGCTCCACGTGGAATGCACCTAACTAGCAATGGGGAATGAATGCAAAGGGTTTAGTGATACACTGTATGCCTGGTTGTAACATTACACCAAACTCTTGCTCATGGTTGCTAGTAGCAACTAAGAATTGCATCCAGGTCAACAGTAAAGGATATTTTTGTTAGCTGTAAGTTGGCTCCAACTGGTCCAGGGCTTCGAAGAGTCTTTCATCCTGTAGGAATCTGCACTGAAACCAGAGACTCGCCGTTGCTTACATTTGATCATTTTGTCCTCCCCAGCGCCAGACTGTTGGAGAAAGCCCGGAAGCAACTGCAAGACGAGCTACTGAGGGTCCAGCGCCAGTTCCTGGAGGAGAAGAAAAAACGCGAGCGATGCGAAGCGACAGTGCGGTGCCTGCAGAAACAAGTGCAGTTGCTCATCAAGGTATGTCTCTTGGAGGAAGAAAGCCGATTTTATTATTTTTCTACATATTGACCATCAAACTTGCTGTGGCTTCACAGAGATGTAGTTATAAGGTACCTTGGTTCGCACATGTCTGCAAGCTCACACAGGTGTGTCTCTGAGGAACCCAGAACGGAGAAGGTGTTCGACTGGACTGGACTGACGAGGCCATTTCCAATGAGGAAGGCAGAGGAAAGCTGGGTTGGGGGTGGGATGTTGTGGCCGGGGAAGGGCACTAAGAGATGGTGAGGCAGATCTTGGGTAAGCGAGGATCCTTTGAGGTTCAGAAGATTAGGACAGGCCAGATGAGGGTCTGAATGGATAGACTGCAAGCGACTTCAGGAGAAAGATAAAGAATATAGTCAGTGTCGATATATTGACCTTGTTTGAGAGTGTCAAGCTCAAGTGAGGTTTTCTGGGTTTTCCTCACCCTTAAGGATAGCCAGGAATGGCTATCCAAGGCTTTGCTGCATGACACGGAACCTACTGCGGTCTCCCCTTGAAGAGCATCCAAAAGCTACAACTGCTGCAAAACTCAGTGGCTCGACTGTCAGGATTAGGGCCATATTATGCCTTCCTGTGAAGTCCTGCTCTGGTTGCCCATTGCTTTCCAGGCTCAATTCCGGGTGCTGACTTGTACCGTCCGCCTCTTACTGTGAACCTGCCCAGATATTAAGCTCTTCTGGGATGTTCTTTTCAGGGCATTGTCCTTCGCAGAGGCTCAGTTGTCAGAAAGATGGTTTAATGTTTAGGCGTATGGTCATGTAGATGAAGCAATTCACATACTACTGGTAAATAGACTTCGGGAGCTCAGAGGAGAGGTCTCCTATCCATCTGACAGCCTTTTCTTGTGTTGAAAATAGTGCAGTTGTTATTGTAAAGGACCACTCCTTTCCTTGGCGTTCTGTTATTATCTCTGTCATTTCCAAATGTGTCCCTTCCTGGAGGAGAGAGATCTGAAAACAGTAGCACATCCACTGGTAACTCGAGGCTCGATTTCTCATGGGGCTACTCTCGGGCCTACGCCAGAAACTGCAGCCAGTACAAAACATGGCAGCCAGGTTGGTCTCTGGGCATCATGGAGGCACCATATATCCCACTGCTGAAGTCTCTTGCCAGAACTGGATGCAATGCAAGGTTTTGGTAATTACCTTTCATCCCATCAGGAATTGGGTCCAAAATACCTTCAGGTACACCTTTGCCCATACATTCTGCCTCACCTGCTAAGTTCCTCTGGGGATAATCTTCTAAAGATCGCCTCTGTAAGATTAATATCAACTACCAAGAGGACTTTCTCAGTGGTGGCCCCTAAACTGTGGAATGGCCTATTGGGAGAGATGGGTCTGATATTCCAGGGTCTGCTACTGTCAAAGACATATTCTAGATCAGTTCCCATCTTAGTTTTATTTGCTATGCTTGTTTTTAGTTGAAATTTTAAATAGTGATTGGTTTCAATTCCTTGTAAACAGTCCAGAGTCTATAGAAATGTTTGAGTGGGGGAAAAGTCCAATAATGTAGGCAATATACATTGTGATTTGCTGAGGACCTCATGGTCTCATGAACCTTCTAACCTTCTCCCCTCTTCAGATTTTCAGGCTCGTCCTTCTAAAAATCATCCCTGCATCTTGTTCAGATGGTTGTGCTCCCTGCTTTGTTTTAGGTGGAATCAAAGAACAGACTGCCATGTGTGGATGAGCTGAACCTGGTTTCATGGATGCTGTTTGGGAATGTGACCTTACAGCTGATGTTCTCTGTCATCCTTTGTCCTTTCCATGGTTGCTTGGTCGGTCCTTTGATTCCACCTTTGATTGAGCTCTTTTGCCCAGGACAAGTACATAAACACTTCTCTTGGCAAAGCTTCCCGTAACCCTAGGACAAAAACGCTCATTTTAATTAAAAGAAAATGATCGTATAATTTAATATTAAATTGTGCAAATGTATTACCTGCTATAAATAATAACTTTGCACTGAACGCTTTATAATCTTGACTGATATTAATGATCTAATTAGTAGCATCCGTGGTAGTGTGTGTAGCTGTAAGTAACACTGAAAATGGAAACCGGGAGGGGAATATGTGGGAACGGATTGTCCCCGGCTTTCTAAGGATGTCAGAGTGGGTCCCGCAAATGCAGAATTAGGGGAAGTCTTTTTATTCCAAGATAATGATAGAATTGCATGTATGAGCACTTTTTCCAACATGAAGCTACCAAGGTTTCGCAGTGATAAGGCCTCTGATGCCCATGGGCATCCAGTCGTCCACATGGAGGAAGATGCTGCTGGGGGAGTTGGGAAGACTCTTGGATACAGCAGGGCTCTTCTCATGAGCTTGAGACACCACAGTGGTGTCTTCCTGTAAGGCTCCAAAAAGGACCAGGTCATCTCTGTGGGGGTGTGGATGGAGGCAGAGGTCTGATGTCGCAGATGCCCACCCCTTAAAAGCAGCCAGTCTCCATTTTGCTCCTCTGACGTTTGAGCCTTTAAAACCCAACTATGGTTTACCGCAGTGGCATATTTCAGCTGTTCCTAATCCTCAGTCTGAGACTGGTTAGATTTCTCTGCTGTTGCTCATTGGGCCATGCAGGAATATCTGACTTGCAATTATGAACTTAAGATTCATCTTGGGCAGCTCTTTGTCAGCATACCGGGCAGACTTCTAATCAGGATGCAGGGAAAAGAGCCATGCCTCCGTGTTTGTCATCAGCACCCGAGAAGGAGAAAAACATTAACTCCAAAGCAGAAGTTGTGCTCTCAGACTGATTTGGCCATTGGCCAACAGCACACGGAGGGCAGCAAGCAGCTTGGTAACACCTTGAGGCGATGGATTCCATTGTTCAATTATGCATCATTTTTAGCCATATCTCACTTCATTTGTCTCAACCCCCTGCTAACCAATTTCATTCAGGGGTGGAATAAAATTAATTTAGTTGATCTATTCCTTTTTTAGATGCCTACTCTGCTGTTCAACAGCCAGGCCCCAAGGCAGCTTTCAGCAAGGTTTTAAAGAATAATATACAATAATCTGCCAGTCATAAAATACTGTTGATAACACAGAGCTGAGCTAAATGGCGTAATAGCAGAAGAATAGGTGAGACAAGCAAAGACGCTTTACGAAACTGGAGTAGCAAGCCCGGCTGCTCAGAAAGGGAGTCCCATAAACGTGATGCCGAAACAATGGCCATTGAGATGAATCGAAGGTCCAAGTGCTTCTGAGGACCACATTTTGAATCCAGTCAGGAGGAGAAGGGGTAACGAACACAGACGGTCAATCCGGCAAGATCTCTTTCGGAGAACCTCTGTCCTAGTTATGGAAAAGGATGTCCGTCTTTCTCTCCGTGGAAAAAATCTGTTCCCAGATTTTAGGAAAGCAGTTGCGCTTTGAAGATACATCTGTCAGTGGCCCTTTTTGTCTGACTCTTTTGCACTGAGGTTACAATCTGTGGTTGCTCTGAAGGTTTAGTGAAGGAAAGCAGCCGTGTTTACAAGTTCAAATGGAGAATTTTTGATGACCTCTTTTCTACCATCCTACGCCTGTTCCAAGTCCTTCTGGACTTGCTCTCAGGGGTTCCAGTGGTACTATCAATGTCCTTACCATCATACAGCCAATATTTTGATGTTCAAATGGCCCCCCACTTCTTTAAAATTCAGGGAACACAGCACTAAGTTCTCTGGTGCACTTAACTGCCATTCAAATTCCTGTACCCCAAGCCAAATAAATAAAACAATTGTTTTTGGAGATATAATCTTTTTCCTGATGCTGCAGATTCAGTATGCTATAAAAGTGCCACTGAATCCTGGTGGATTCTTTGTTGGTAACTGTACTCCGCATCTTCTCCTTGCAGACATTCTTTTCTCCTAGATGTTTTACAGCCAGGCAAGATGCGACATTCCCTTCTGTAGTGCCCAACACAATGTTTGCATTTGGGTATATAACCTGTATTGGTATTTAAACATGGCAATATCTCGCTTGTGTTTTCTTTAATATCAGGATACAGATTGGTGAACCGGCTCTCGTAGCTTATACAGGGAGCGCGATGCTCATGCGCGGCCTTCAAATACATCTAATAAATATATGCAGGTTGTCTGGAAGGTTTTGTTGAGATTAAGCATGATGGTCGACTTTGGAAAGCATTCCTTTGAGATGCTAGTTGTGCCACTTTTGGTGACTTGGAGGATGGATATTTCGGTGGGATTGAGGAACGGGAGTTGGTTCAGGGTCGTGGAATGCAACAGGGGAAGGAGATCGGGGCAATTGGCTCGAGGGCTGATGCGGTGGTGGGCCAGAAGGGCCCTTGGGGTAGCATGCAGATGCAGCTAGAGGGAGGGGCCACTGAGACTGGGGAATCCGGAGCTGGCTCCCCCGGCTAGGTGTCAGCAGAGGCAAGCAGCCCGGTTGGATGGGAAGCACATGGGGAAGAAGAGGGTTGGGAAACCAGTGTGCTCGTAAGGAGGGTTTTGGAAAGTAATTGCTAAATTGGATTCAACAGATGTCCTTGTGTCTGCTTAGAGACTCGTCTGGGTGGCTTACGTTTGGAAACAATTAAGAGCGCTTTGCCTGAGGCCGGTGATTGTGAGAGGGAGGACACACAACGGGTATAATCTCAGATACCAGGTATAATCTCCGTCATCCATGCTCATTATATGAATACGCCTTCCAGAGCCGGAGCTCACAAAAGAACAAGAACTTGTTCTGTTTGATTAGGATGCTCCTCAAATATTGCATATTTAAAATTGGGGACAGGAGAACAATCCGGACATTGTGTGGGATAGCAGTGACTGTTTTTTCTCCTTAAGTAGACTCTGTACTTTATTTCCACACTGATAGCTGGTAGCGGGCTTTGAATTGCTCCAGAACTTCAGTGAAGTGGGTGCTGTAGGCAAAGCAGATCTGTCTTCCCCAAGGTAACGCAAGCTCAGTTGCCTTTTCCATGAACTAAAAGGCATGCCTCGCAAGTTCGATTACAGAGAATATTGAACAAAATAAT